CCCCCCACCCGCCCCCACAGCCCCCCCCCCATCCCCCCCCGCACACCCACCCCCACCCACACCCACACATCCACACACCCGCCCACACCCACACCCATTTTCATTTGTGTTGGATAGCTGATGACTTCTAAAAAATATATGTGTGTCACGTATTTCAATTAATCCTACTTTTTTACGTTTTTGAGATCATTGTGAAAAGACAGATGAGTATATTATCCTGCTCAACTTTTACGAGTTTATCTTTGCTTATAATGTCTAAAACAATTCTTGTTGGAAATTCATCAAAGAGGAAGATTCATTGGTGCACATGACACTGCCAATATTTAGTAAAACAGTTTTCTTATAGAAATTTGATTAAGATCATATGATTCGTCAATGTTTGTTTTGGTATTCGTAATGAAAATCATTAGCATGGTTGAAGAAATTTCACATTCTGTAAAGCTTTTTTTTCAAAGGAGATAGAATAACATTAAAAGCTTTGGTGTCGTAGTGCGAAAATAAGAAATTATATATACCCCTCAGAAAAATGACTTTTTTGACAATGATGCGAGCAGATATTGTCGGACAGCTATTAAAAATATCATATTTAATCATTTTGAACGAGCCGATTGGACATCGAATCTATCCGAAGTACCAAAGATTCTTGGAAGACATAGTATTTTATTCGGAAAGTCTATCAAATTACTTTGTGCACATGAATCTTTCATTGTTTTCTTTCATCATTAATATCTCACCGTTTGGCTAAGAACGAACAAATTTTCATATTGACAAGGCGTCCTCGATGATAAAACGGCATGCATAGCTTTGTTTTTGATTACTTACAAGATAAAATAGTTAGGTTAAAACATGGCGTGTTGGCCGAATCCGCAAAAAGATGACGAATCAACAATTATTCAACAATTTAAACTTTTAAAAGATCAATTAACAATAGAGTCGGCTCTTGAGTTATGCAACGATATGCCTGGTTGTGGTTTTCTCTTTGCATTGTATGAAACCAAGAATCTTTATTACGAAGGTGCTTTTCAAGCTTATTTAACTCTTTTGCGAGCTATTGCAGCATTGGTTTCTCGTTCAAATTTTCTATATATGTTTTCCAAGTCTTGTTCTGGATGTGCTATGTTGCATATATTATCTATTTTATGTTTGCATCCAATATTAGAAAACGAAGTGGATACTTTATTTTAGGAATTGTTATGTGATAAACATGGTGATATTTTAAATCGTGATGATATTCGTCAAATTGCTATGATGATGCGACAAGCATACAAACGTCGTGGAGATCCATTTCCATATGTTGGAGATTGTTTAGATTATGATCGTGAAAGTCAAGGATTTAAAATGGCATATACCATTGGAGTATTATTTTCATCCGAGGAATTCTGCAAATTAATGAAAAGTAATCCTACCATAGGCACTCAAATAGCTCGTGAAATGCTAAAAAATCCTCATGATAGTGATTGGCAATCAAATCAGTTATACGAATTGCTATCAAAATATAAGGAACTTATATCGGATAATAAATCTGACAGATGAATATAGACTATTTTCAAAGTTAATCGAAATGTTTTAAAAGTAACTCATTCTACATCATAGAATCCAAGCAAAAAGTCTTCCTCCTTCATTGTTTGTGTATTTTGTGTTTCAGAACGATCAATAAGCATTTTCAATGTTGTCCTTTGAGATCTGCTTAAGACAAAAACAAATGTGATTCTTCATATAATTCTCTTCTTCTAATAAAATGATACATCGGTTCTCTTTGGACGATGTTCGGCACAACTACATTAAAATAAGAAAATTCTAATGTTCTACTGATATACAGCAAACTATACAAAACTATTAAAAATAACGTAATCAACCTGTAGTTCACTACAGTGAAAATGTCTCTTTCGTTTTAAAAATAATTCAATCTCTATAGATTGCCGTTTCGTCAAGAGAAAAAAATAACCCCTTTTTTTGTATTATAGATCAACAATAAGCCAAATCCACAGATAAATGAATTTGCTTCAACTATTGCTAGTAGTTATGAAAATTCTTTTTTTTTCTTCTAAAAGTATTTGAAATCAAAGCAACACAATAACAGTATATCTTGTATAAAAATGATGCGTAGGTATGCGTATGTACTCGGTAGAAATGCTGCAATTACTGTCTAAAAAAAAACAAGTTATTTATAACATAGTGATTCATTACTTATTATTATTATGATGATTAGAGCCCTGCAGGATGCAGGTAACCTGCCCTGCCCTGCCCTGCCCTGACAGGGCAGGACAGGGCAGGCTGCGAAAATAGCAGGGCAGGGCAGGGCCA